TGCTAGCTTTCCCAAGGCAGACGAACTTAGAGTGGTTACAATCAAAATCGCGCTCAAATTGATTTGATACTGATGCAATATTTACACTGAAGATTGCAGGCCGCTATGGTAAGGGGCGTGACATTTCCCGACCAGGCGCCGAATGCTGCCAATCACAACACACACTGGCCCAGCTAACCAATCACAGCACATTTCGTATTTCAGAAGGCGGGCCTTCATTTGATAAAGGAACTATTCGAGCTGTTCATGCAAGACTGGGGAGAGAGGTGTTGTAATAATGTAAAATATGTGAAAAATAATGTGTTTTTCGAACAACCTAGTATGAGAGCCTGTTCTAGTACACCCCCAAAACAAAATCAAGACTTTGTAAAAGAGCATAATAGGACCCCTTTAATATTTTTTTTTGTTTTTTCATCGATTCAATCCTGGGTCAGGTGTTCTATGCAGGCATTTTCTCTTAGTGGACTATATTTGTGTAAATGTATCCAACTGTAGGTTAATAAAACGGTTACATCCCAATACTCTTAAGACAATTGGTCCTATTAGACCTCAAAACTTGCAATTTATGAAGTGTGTATGTGTGTGTGTGATTACCGATATTATTACTGAAATTAAAATTCTTTATCTCTCGTCTGATGTCATCCCAAATCCCAGGGACATCGTTTTTATTTTTCAAAAAATAATTTCAGTGTATTTATGTACAATGTGTGTACAGAAATAAAATATGCCCAACTTGATTTTTGTGTTTCTTTTTTTTCCCCATTCAATTAGGATTGTTGTATGCCTACTGTATATTGTGATGTCTGTTTAAATTCAAAGGGTTTAATGTCAAATTATTTTACCATAATTATTGTGGTGTAGTCTGTCTTCGCAAAACTGTATCTGCTAATAATTGCTCATACTTCTGATTAGGGGGTTATGAATCTCAGGTATTAAAGGTGACATAACTCATTCTTGAAACAAATGTGCCGCTGACCTAATGATTCCTGCAATTGTAATTATGAAATGACAATCAGGGACAAACTTCATACAGTTTTGTAGACAGTAATATCAACTTCATGACGTGCTAAAAACTCGAAAATACTAGCAACTGGACTGCAGTGCTAATGGAACTTTGGGACCAGTTCAGTGAGTGCATAAGCACCAATCTTCCAGGAATGTTATAAAAAAACAAAAAAAAAAAGTTTAAAAATCTTGCTGCTATTATTAGATAATGTTTTACAAGGATAATTCACCTTCAGTTGGTCCCCATTGACTTGCGTAGTTTTTTTTTTTTTTCCGTTTTTCTCCATACTATTAAAAAGTCAATGGGGCGCAGCAACTGAAGGTGAAATATCCCCCTTTAAGCTGCACACAGTTTAAAAATAAAAATTGTCTAACTAAATTAAATAGGTACACAGTCAATGACAGACATTTCTCAGACACAGTTTGACATCTGTATTGTAAAAGACATCAGTTGCAGACAACGGTTCTAGACAGTGAAACAGTGTTGAAGCAGCTCTCATTCCTCCCATGTGTCTCCATATATATTCTTCTTCCCTGTTTACCAAAAAAAGAAATATATATATATATATATATATATATAATAATACATTAAAAATATATTAAAACGTTTTCTAAGCTATTATATGTAAACACGATTCTTACTTACAGAAATACAGAAAATAATTTTTATATAACTTTAGATAACGTCAGATTTAGCAAGTTGATGAAAAAATGATCACAAGTGACAGAACAAACGTATAATGTTAAAAAGATTAATTTTTGATCTTCATATTCATCAGAGAATCCTAAAAAAAAAAGGTTTCCACAAAAATATTAACCAGCACCACTGTTTTCAACATTGATAATAATAAGAAATGTTTCTTGCACACCAAATCAGCATATCAGAATGATTTCTGAAGGATCATGTGACACTGAAGACTGGAGTAACCAGTAAAGTTACCATCACAGGAATTTAAAACTTCCATAAATTCCTAATTTCTGTACAGAAAGGGGCTGCAGAATTATGAGGTGGCAGAAGTCAAACGTAGTAACTTTTATTTTCTACATGTACATTGGAGTTTTTTAGTTGAGAGGACATAAAAAACGACTTGTCGCATCATGACCGATTTGGACGAGGGTTAGTAGATTGTCAGGTCTCACCTCTCTTGGCTGGGATGGTCTCAGGTGAAGGCTTCAACAGTGTCTCTGGTTTTTCATAGTTTTCCCTGTTCTTACTCCGTAGCTCCTCATACAGCATGTGTTTCTTCTGTACATCCTCCTCAACGTAAGTTGGTTCTGCTGGATTGGAGGGATGTTGATTAAATACTAATTAAAATGACGTAAATAAAATTGTAATTTTGGGGTGAACTACTCTTTTAATATTCAGAGTAAAAAGATTCTGCTCAAATTAAAGCTATACAGCCAGTCTGTGTCCCTTAAGACATCACTACTTGCTGCCTTCTCAGTGACAAACTAATAAAACCAAACATTAATCTCAGTTTTATTGTTCATGATTGTTGTTGAATAAATGCTACAAACCCATATGCTACAATAAGTCTTTCTGTTGTTGGAAAAAAAAAAAGACATAATTTGGAATTTATATGAGGAATTTCACTGTCAGGTTTTGAGAGAGGTTTCTTAAAGGGATAGTAAACCCCAAAATTAAAATTCTGTCATTAATTACTCACCCTCGTTGTCGTAAAAATATCTTAATTCGTGTTTCGAAGATGAACGAAGGTCTTATGGGTTTGGAACGACACGAGGGTGAGTAATTAATGACAGAATTTTAATTTTTGGGTGAACTATCCTTTTAAGGCTTTACCTATTCATAATGTAGAGAGTGTGTAGAAACATGATAAATTAGAAAACTAGATGAGGTAAAATAAACACTGAATATGTGTTGATGTGTATTAATTCTGATGAAATGTCAGAAATTTCTCAAATGAGAGCAATCATGATTAATAATTGTGATCATTTTTGAGCAAAATAATTGTGATTATCAGTTTAACCATTATGATGAAGATGAAAGCACTTTAACTCTTTCCCCGCCAAACACAGAATTTTCCGGGTTTCTGCGTTCTCACTGGTATATGCTCGGGGGCGCTGTTACGCATCTCCTGAATGAGTCCAGAATGTCCCGATCAAAAACACATACGAGGAAGATGCAGAAATGAGCGATCATGTACTAAGCGGATGCATATGAAAAATAATGCGATCATCAACAATAAACAGCATTTAAAGGCAAACTGCCAAATGTTACAGAGTGAAATGTGGAGGTGAAATGTGAAATGATCCAGGAAGTGGCAACGGACTGTGCATGATTTGGGGGTGCTGATGGACGCGATCTACTGAATCTTTGCTTTGATCATCGTATTGAATATGATCCAGATGTAGTATTTGATAAAAATGCAATTTTCTCAGCTTTTTGCTCAAAATTTCTCAGCTTTTTTTAAAGAAACTTTCAAGTGTTGATAAAAAAATAATGCTTGAAGATAGAATAAAACTGATTTTTTTTTTTTTTTTATGGTAGAGGCTCTGTTCTTTATTTTGATGTATTGCATGTTCAGATATGCATACAACAAAATATTCTGGGGGTCATGAAATTTTAGTGAATGTGATCAAAAATGCTGGCGGTGGCTGGCAACTTTTTTCAAAAACGCTGGCGGGGAATGAGTTAACTTACCTGTAATTTGAGTGTCATATTGAGCTGCTGAGGACATGGGGTCACTGTTAGTGAAATCGCTAGAATAGGAGAATGACTGATTCCTCTGATCATCAAGTTGAAAGGCCGGCTCAAAATCAGCTTTGTTTGGATCACTCATTTCCGGGTGCTTATGGGTAAACCTGAAAAAGAAAAAAAAAAAAACGATGTGGGAAAAATCCTTTTGCGGGTAGTTACCAAACAGTTTTGACAACGATTTTGACCACTGTTTGAAAAAAAAAAAAAAGAAGCATTTTTCAAAATATCTTCTGTGGAACATAAAAGAATCCTTTGAGAATTTGGGAATGCTAGTGGCACAGAAATGGCACACTACACTTTTAAATGTTGCATGTTCCTGTTTGCTCATGTTGTGCTCACACTGGTGGTTGGTGGTGCTGTCTCTGTCTCAGTGCCTCCCCCAGTGGCGAATTCTCCAAGCTCTTAAATTTCTCCTGGCATGTCTTCATGTATGACATCTTCCCTCCCAGGTAGCCAAAAACACCAGCAACTAACACATATTTAACACATCGATACATACTTTTAATATTCAGTCTATCAATTATTCATCTCAGTAAGAGTAAATTGTACTCACAAGCAACTTTGGGCAAAGATCCAAATCTACCGGAGGCTGTAAGAGCACCTAAAACAAATAGATCAAAACATTTACACTACTGTTTAAAAGTTTGGAGTCTGTTCGTTTTTTTTAAAGGGGTCATATGATGCAATTTCAATTTTTCCTTTCTCATTGAAGTGTTACAAGCTCTTGGTGCATAAAGAAGATCTGTAAAGTTGCAAAGACTAAAGTCTCAAATCCAAAGAGATATTCTTTATAAAAGTTAACAGTCAACCACGCCTACCTAAAACGGCTCGTTCTAACACGCGCCCACATGTCTATGTCACTATGTGGAAACATTAGCATAATGCCGCCCAAATGTGCACGCAAAGAAAGAAGGCATGGTTTCAGGAACAGCAGTCGTGTTGATGCAGTCATGTCAGGGAGACGCTGTGCGTTTCAGTGCGAAAGCAAAAGCACTTTATTTGGCCTTCCGGAAGAAGGTGCAACTAGGAATCATTGGTTAAGAATTATTTACAACAGAACAGCACAACCCAGATGTTCGAATCTGTGCAACGCATTTTATGGACGACAGTTTTTTGAACCTAGAAGAGTACAAGGCTGGCTGTGCACAAAGGCTATTTCTAAAAAAAA